TTGTTACTACTAGTAAGGCCAGGAGCCCCTAGTAGCGTCCTTGCTCCTACTAGCGAGGCACTTGTTTCTACTAGCTTCTTGTTACTACTGGTAAGGCCAGGAGCCCCGAGTAGCGTCCTTGCTCCTAGTAGCGTGGCACTTGTTACTACCAGCGTCCTTGTTACTATTAGTAAGGCACTTGTTACTAGAAGCGATGCACTTGTTCCTAGTAGCTTCTTTGGCAAGTCATTTTGCTCTCAGCAGTAGATCTGTAAATTTAGGCTGCGAATGTTTTTGGGAGGCTTGCAATGGGCCTACTAGGCTGAGCATTCATGCAGCATTCTATGTATTTCTTCTTCTCTTGGTACCGCTAAGCGTTCCCGACCCAGACTTGCTTGGATGGGCCGAACTTCAAGAGGAATAGAGACCTCGGTAACTCGTTCTGCTCAAGGCCTACCGTCGCCCTGCGACAAATTTTTCCCCTGATTCTAGTAGCTTCTGGTTCCTAGTAGCGATGGCCTCCACCTAGTAGCTTCTAGCAGCTTCTTGTTCCCAGTAGTAGTGCCAGGAGCTATGACTACCCGTCCTTGCTCCTAGTAGTAATGCCCTTTGTTCCTAGTAGCTTCTTAGGAACCCTATTTAATCCTGATCTTCATATGTTTCTTTGTTCAACGTCTTCTCCCTCACGGCTCTTACAGTGGCAAACAAGAACCGCGGTAGATCGCCACCAAGGTGCCCAAACTTTTTACGTTGATCACTCAAGACCTGGTAGCGATGCACTTGTCTACTACTAGTAAGGCACTTGCTCCTAGTAGCGAGGCACTTGTTACTGGTAGCTTCCTGTTACTACTAGTAAGGCACCTGTTACTAGAAGCGATGCACTTGTTACTAGTAGCTTCTTGTTTCTAGTTGATCACTCAAGACCTGGAGGAGGGACTTTCCTCGGATCAGGGCCCACAAGACCTCGGCGGGGCGACCGAACAAGATTTGCACTCCGATCGCTCCGTTCGTAGCGATGCCCTTTGTTCCTAGTAGCTTCTTGTTTCTAGTAGCGATGTCAGGAGCCCCTAGTAGCTTCTTGTTACTAGTATGCTTCTTCTTTGCTTTAGACTTTATTCCGACCTACTAGCAATGGCCTCCTTTAGACTTTCTTTAAACTTTAAACTATTCTTCGGTCCTTCATGTCCTGTTCTTTAGAATGAAGTCTCTGCCCAGTGGCTGACACAGAGCCCAGAATTGGCACTGACATGGGGCCAGGGGGAGGCATTTCGCTGGCTGATCTCTGTGTCCTGGGACTGGGACCCTTTGCTAAGAAGACTTCTTGTTCCAGGAGCCCCTAGTAGCGTCCTTGTTGAATGTGCTTTAGAAGAAGTTGTTTCAATTTTTTTAGGACCGCTCTGCCCTCCAACCTAATAGCGATGGCCTCCTAAAACAGCCGGTAAGGAAAGAGCTAAAAGCTAGTTAAGTTTCCCTAAAATCTAGGAACCAAATCATTAGTGCGAGCGCTATCCTGCGTCCATACTAGCAGCTTACTTGTAGGTACTAGCTACCTAGCCTCTACTAGCTACCTCTAGCTAGCTACTACCTACCTCTAGTGGCCTACCACCCCCTAAAAAAGATGGTCTTGTTGCCTTGTCGTGCCAAAAGGCTAAGCCTACTCATAGAGACCTTATTGCTTCTTCGACTCAAAAGCCATGCAACCGAGAGCATGTCATGAGGCCTCTGCATGTGCCTCCCATATCTGCTCACGGGAAGCCTGCAAAGCCAAAGCAAAGACGTTTGACGTGACATGTTCAGTTCAAAGAACAAAAATCAAGTCAGATTTCAATACCACCAAAAGAAAAGGATGCAAATATGCCTTGAAAGTAAAGAAAGCCAAGACTTGAAAAGGATGAACAATCTCGCGAGAGTCCGGCCTTGGAGATCTCAAGGGCACCTCACAGAACTCGATCAAACCAGGAACGGGTTGAACGCTACTAGTAACAAGGCCACGCTAGTAGAAACAAGTGCATCGCTTCTAGTAACAGGTGCCTTACTAGTAGTAACAAGAAGCGAACGTAGAAACAAGTGCATCGCTACTAGTAACAGGTGCCTTACTAGTAGTAACAAGAAGCGAACG